ACCTGTTGACGCACCAGACGCCAACGTGCCGTACAACGGGCGCCCAAGTGCCTATCTTCGTTCTCGTTGCCTGTTGTGCTTTGGAGGGTCAAATTTCGAGGCCAACAAGGCCGCAACGTTGTAAGTGCAATATCTTGCTCAGGATGTGTTATCTCATCAAAACTCAGGGACGATGTCAATGTGATTGTCTGCCTTGATGCATGCTTTACCCAGAAGCGGCGAGCGTCCGGGCGACGAGATCCTGCAAAGACCCACCCCGCCTCTGTCTTTCTACCCGAGGATGAGGTTAAGGCCATGGAGCTCGAGGTGGAACAAAAGCGTGGAAACAGGGCATCTCGCAGCAAATCGTCGACTCGGGTGGATAAGAATTTGACGTCGAGAAAAAGGAAGGGTGCTCCGGCGCGCGACCGGCAGGGAGGAGAGGAGGAAGAAGACCGATGCGAAGGCCCTTTGACGGTTCCGAACTCTGTGTTAGACGGCTGCGAAGAGTCTTTCAAGGCCGCCGACGAGCAACGGGAGAAGGCGAGCACCAAGTTCTTCGACGACACCGGAGTGATGGCCATCCTATGCCGACACGACAATGTCCTATGGCTAGTCAACATGACGAGTGCGGGCGAGCGACAACACTACGCCATTGCATTGCTGAATCGACTGTTCCAGCATCTCCCGGAGTCATTTCTCGCTGGAGTCTTGTACGATATCGGGTGCCAACTGCATCGTAGCGTTCACAAATGGGATCTTTTGACAGGATACCGTGAACGGATACTGTTCGGCATATCCGTCTTCCACGCATATGGACACGAGTGGCCTTGCCAACTCACCTATCATCCCAGGAAATGTGAAGGGTTTGGCTTATCGGATGGCGAAGGTTGCGAACGGTTTTGGAGTTGCATAGACCATCTCGTGGCCGTACTGCGAGTAAGCGGCGTACGTTTTTTGGGATTCTTCAATTCCTTTTTAAATGCTGATGATAAAACCGCAGTTCTATCAGCGGATGTATGTGCTCGACGCACAAGTTCAGCACGCGAGCCGCATTCAACGTCGGAATCTGGGGAACTGGCTTGCCAAGAAGTACTATGCGTGCCAAGTGCGAATGTCGGATGCGAAGCACAGATTAGAGGAATGTGCTATCGCGCTGGAGATATTGCGCAATGAGTTCGCATCACAGACGAAAGCCCAGACAAGACCTCTTCAGCGTGAGTGACTTGCGGGAAAGTTTATCACTGTCACTAAATCATCAGTTAGGACAATCAAAGGACGCTGGAAAACGAGCCATCGATGCTATTCTGCTTCTGCAGAACCGCCTCATCGCGCTCGAGGAGAGCATCGCCAAACTGGAGAAGGCAATCCTGAAGGGCAACTGCGATGCAGATTCAATGGCTCGGCGCAACGAACTGCTGGACGAACGTGATATGACGAAAGAGAAGAAAGATGCCCTGGAACGTCGGCTCGATTTGCGGACACGGCAAGATCTGAGTTCCCTACGGGCAAGCAAATATCTGACCCATCGGATGAATGCGCTGGCGTTGAAGAATCGAATCAGAGACCGGTTGCGGCAACGGAAATTTGAATTCACTGGCATGGAGCGATCGTACCGGACGCAGTCATCCGGTGAGTCTAAGATTTTCCGTACTAAGTGGACGTCTAGAAGCTTGACGTTCGATGAGATTTGATAGACCGCAAGCTCGTAGCGCATACCGCAACAGCAGTGCATAGACGGGAGCCAGGAATCCAGACACAGGCGCGGAAATATAACGCGCTATGCAAGACGATGTCCGAGCTTATTCGCAAGAACGAAGCTCCAGCTCGGGCTGTGCCACCAGTACCAATTGACATGGACCGGCTGTGGGGTCTCGACGTGGACGACGAAATCTGGCAGGATATCGGGCTGGCCGATGAATATGATACGGCGGACGGGCAACCTCCCAGATGGTTGTCAGATGAGAAAGTTAAATCGGGCATACGCCATATGCTAGAGGTGGACAGGTGCGAGGAGGAACTCCGACACATTTTACTCGAGCGCGAAACCCTCCAAAGCTGGCTTCGGGAAGAGTGGGCAGCGGTTAACCATGCCCTCAAGAATGCTGGTACGCAGGCTAGCATCTTCCGTCCATCGAGAAGTTGTTAATGTGTCCATAGCGTCCAATCTCGGCCTTCGTGCTCAGCTGACCATATACCGCGCTGAGTTGATATCACTAGCAGTCATATGGAGGAGGGATGTTGCAGAAATTCCGATGGGCAATGCCCGTGATGACGAGTGGGGCCCAAGCGAGGAAGAAATCAGGAAAGGCATGGCACGCGAGTTTTTGGCGTCGGCGCCTTTACTTGCTACGACACCTGCGTTTAACAATTCCAATGACGATCCCGATGACTACCTCGACGTTCACGGCATTGCGGTTAATCTGGAGGAGAACCCAGAGGATGGCGCAGATACAGCAGCGTTCTACGAGCGGTTGGAGGACCAGTATGTCAATGTGGAGGAGCTACCGTCTGATGCATGGCCGGCAACCCCGCAGCTGACACCCGATACCCCAGGAAGTATATCTGGGTCTGTCTCGTCGTCGCAAAGCCTCCGGACGCCATCGGGATCTGATGTCGGCATTGAATATCGCCGTCGTTTGTTTGTGGACTCTTTAGATGCATCTTCCTCACTACATCATATATATGACGATCCCTTTGTAACCCCAACAAAAAGGCCTCGAAGGCTGTAATATAGATGCAATGTTGACCTTGGTTATTGTGGTGTAAATGTGCGCATGCAGCTGCATGATCATGCCTAGCGATAGAATGTCCGCTATTTGAGTTGCCCGTCATCGCATCCTTACAACAACATCGTCATCCCTCCTATACACCAACCTAATACACGCTATCCTCGGCCATGGCCACCTCCGCCCACAGCTTTCCAGTACTGGAGCGACTCCTGTCCACCAACGGCATCCGACGTAGAGCAGGTTGAACCAGGGTTCTTCGAGAGAGGGGCGAAGGGGCAGTCGCCGAAGGTGCTCTGGATAGGCTGCTCAGACTCGCACGTGCCAGAGACGGTCGTGACGCTGGCCAAGCCCGGAGACATCTTCGTGCACCGCAACATCGCCAAGTACGTCGTGCCAGCGCCGAGGTCTCGCGCAGGGAGCGGGTTGGCTGACCCTGCAGTCCCGATTAGCCAGTTCCACCTTCACGACAACAGCGTGCTGTCCGTGGCGACATACGCAATCGCGGTCGTCGGCGTCGGGCACGTCGTTATCGTCGGACACACCCACTGCGGCGGCGCAACGCATACGGCGGCACTGATCAATGACCTCGCCGTTCCCCCCCCTAGGCTCTGATGCACCCATCAACAGGTGGCTGGCGCTGCTCGTCAAGCTTGCAGGAGAAGTGATAGCGTCAAACCCGACCGGTACGTTACCCGATGGCCCATCCGATCCCCTAACATCTGCGCTCTCTCCTCCCTACTGACGCCCCCCGTGGCTGACTGCGATTGAGCAGATCCGTTGAAGGAGCTCGTGTACGCGAACGTGAAGGCGTAGGTCGCCAATCTTGCCCAAAGCGGTCTGGTCGTCGACGCGTGGAAGCAGGGCAAGTCGCTCCACATCCACGGATGGATCTACGACCTAGCGACCGGGAAGCTCGAAGACCTGGGTATCTCCCAGGGCGGTCCTTGAGGCCTCAGAGGTTTTCTCGTTGAGATACAGATGCTATTCCTAGGGATGGGGTTCAGAGTATCGTGCACGATGTAACATAGATTTAGATGAGTGCAGAGTGATACGGTCATACCAAATGGTAGTACCAGCAGTAACAATGTCTCCGATGGGTATTACCATGTGCTGGACACCGTGTGTAGGGTGCTACCACCCAGCGTGTGGTGGCTCCACGCAGCCAGGGGAGTTCCATAGCTTCAAGGATGGTACCTCCACGCGAGTCCACAACGGCAATGGTGTTTCCAATGTAAGGGCTGGTACCCCCATGGCCGATGTGGTGCTTCCATTATTTAGAATGGTGTTTCCAATGTAAACGCTGGTACCCCCATTGCCAATGGGGTGCTTCCATCATTGATCATGGTACCCCCATGGCCAACATGGTCGTACCATGGTTCTCCATGTGGAGGTACCATGGCCGATAGCTGGACTCACCAGGTGCTGACTGAGGTCGTTCCATAAGCGAGCACTGGTAGCTCCATTGCGGTTGTTGGTGGTTCCATTGGACTC